TTGGTTGTTGTGGTGGGTGGTGGGTGGGTGTTGTGTTGGGTGTTTGTTGGTGTGTGGTGTTGTGTGGTTGGTTTGTTTGTGGTTTGTGTGGTTTGGTGGGGTTGGGTGTGGGGGGTTGTTGGGGTTGTTTGTTTGTAGGTGGTGTGTTGGTGGGGTGTTTTGTTCTGTGGGTTTTGGGGGTCGTGTTGGGGGGGTTGTGGTGGTGGTGTTTGTGGTGGTCGGTTGGTTGGTTGGGTGTGGGTGGGTTGTTTGTGGTTGGTGTGGAGGTGTGGGTGATTGGGTGGTGGGGTTGGTGGTGTGTGTGTGTGGGGGTGTGTTGGTTGTTTGGGGGGGGGTGTGGGGTTGTGGTCGTTGTGGATTGGGTGTTTGGGTGTGGTTTTGGTGGTGGTGGGGTAGGTGGTGGGTGTCGTTGTTGGGTGTTGGTTTGTGGGTGGTGGGGTGTTTCGGGTGGGTTTGTTGTGTTTGGGCGTGGGGGTTTGGTGGGTGGGTGGTTTTGGGGTGGGTTGGGTTGTTGTTGGCGGTGTTTGTGTGGTTTGTTGGTTGGGGTTGTTTGTGGTCGGGTTGGGGTGGGTGGGTGGTAGGGTGGGTGGGGTTGTTTGTTGGTGGTTGTTGATTGGTGGTATGGTGTTTGGTGGGGTTGTAGGTTGGGTGGGTAGGTGGGTGTGGTTGTGGTGTTGGGGTGGGTGTGTTGGGGTCAGTTGGTGTGGTTTTGGGGGGTGTCTGGTGTTGGGTTGGGTGTGTGTGTTGGGGGGGTTTTTGGGTGTTGTTGTGGGGGGTGTAGTGTGGGGGTGTGGTTGTGGGGGCGTGTGGTTGGGGTGGGGGTGTGGGGAGGGGTTGTGAGTTTGAGGGTGGAGGGTCTAGAGTTGAATGGTGGGTTGGCTGTTAGTTGGTGGTGGATGCTTGGTGGTGCGCTGTGTGTGTTGGGGTTCTGGTCTATTTGTGCGGGTGTGTCGCGTGGGCTGTTGTGTTTTGGTGTGGTTGGTGTCTGGTTGTGTTCCTTTGTGTGCTTGTGGGATGGTGTGGTGGGGGGTGCGGGGGTGGGGTGGCGTTTGGGGGTTGGTTGTGGGTTTGTGTATTTGGAGGGGTGCGCGGAGGGGTGTTTTCGGGGCTGTCGGCCATGTGGATTGTGTTGTCGGTCGATGGTCATGGTTGTGTCTTGGGTTGCGTGCGGGTTGGGGTAGGGAGGGTGAGCGACACGAGGGGTGTGGAGTGTGGAGTGTGGAGGGGTTGTTGGTGTACAGTGCTTGGGTTGCCTGGGTTTTGGGGTGGGTGGGTGTTTATGTCCTCTGGTGGGTTGTGCCTTGGTTGGGATGGTGGTGTATGTTTGCGTGTGAAGGGATGGGTGGTGGGAGGTCATGGGTGGTTCCAGTCGGGGGGTTTGGGGCTGACGGTTCGCGTGGTTTGGGGGTCTGTTAGCTGTCATGTGGTTGTATGGGTGGGGTCGGTAAGTGTGCTGGGGGTGGGGTCTGTGGTTTTGGCGTGTTCTGTGGGGCGGGTGGCTGTCTGGGTGGTCGGTAGGTGCGGTGTCGCGTACGGTCGGGGTGGGGGGATTGGGTTGGGGGGTTGGGTGCCGTTGGTTTGGGTTTTGGGTTGGGGGGTGGCGGTGCGGGGTAGGGCAGTTGGGATTGTCTGTAGGTGGGTGTCGGGGGGTCGGGGTGGGTGTGGTATGGTGTGGGGCGTGTGGAGGCGGCCTGTGGGTTGTCACGGACGCAAATGTGGTCCGTGCCTGAGGGGGGTGGGGCGAGTTGTGTTTTGATTGTGGGGGATGGGTTCTGTGTTGTGGGTGCGTTAGGGAGGAGGGTGTTGCTGGGGGGAGCGCGGGGGGGGGGGGGGGGTGTGTTGGGGGGCGGTTGAGAGTTGGTGGGTCCGGTGGTGGGTTGGGTACGGGTGGGGGTGGGGGTGTTTGTGTTGGGTCGTGAGGTATGGTGGAGGGGTGGCGTGTGTGGCCGGTGGGGTGGTTTTATGGGGTGGGCGCGGTGGGGGGATGGGGTGTGGGTTGTGTTTGGGGGGCGTTGTGTTTGGGGGGGGTGGGGGGTGTTAGTTGGGGGGTGGTGGTGGGCGCGGGTGGGGGGTTGGTTGGAGCGTTGGGGCGTCGGTGGGTGGTGGGGGGGTTGGTGGGGGTTGTGGAGACTGGGTCGGCGGCGGGCTGGTGAGTGGGGGGTGGAGTCGTTGTAAGTTTTTTCTTGGACCGTGTGTGTTGTGTGGTGTGGGGGATGGTTGAATCTTCTTGTCGGCTGGTTTCCTTACTGGATCTCGGCTTATGTTACAGGTTGAGGTGCTTAGATTTTGTTGGTTTTGTCTTGTTTGTTGAGTGTTTGTTTATGGTGTTTGTTTCTTTTAGTGTTTTCGTTGTGGTTTTGTGGGTCTTTCTTTTTTTTTCATTTCGAGGTTTCTTTTGTTTTTTCTTTTTTTTTTTTGTTGTCTTTTTTGTTTTTGTTGCTTAGGTTGATTTGAATTGGCTTGGTGCCGTGTACTGATTCTATTTGTTGGTAGGACCTTTTTGTATCGTGTGATGTGTCTTTAGACTAATGTCTCGTTGTTGATGGTTAATTTGGTGGTTTCTGATTTTGTATGGTTGTGTAATGGCTCGGTTGTTGGCGTTTTTTGTTTGTTGGTTAGGGGGACGTCGTACCGTATGGGGTAATCCTTGCATTTTGAGCTCGCATTACGTTGATGGTATTTATCGTGGTTGTATTTCTGTGTATTAAACTGACTCGTATGTTTGTTCTTGTGATTGTGGTTTTTGTTGCTTAGTGTTCCACTGTTCTACTCTTTGTTGCTGTGTGTTTAGATGTTTTTTGGCTTGTTGACTATTTTATTAGGTTGTTGTTTTTGAAATTCTGCCTTCTTGAGGTAGAATCTTGCGCTCGTGTGTTTGGGTAATTGAGGTGGGGTGGAGTTATTTGTTTTTTTTTGTAGTGGCCTTTGGGATTGTTTTATGGTTTTGCCTGTGATCGGTTCTATGTTGTTGTGCCTTAGGAGCGTTCATGGCTTTGTAGCTTTTGCTGGCGATGGGTTACTAGCTTGCACACGGGAGGTGTGTCTATCTGCATAGATAGTGTGTGGGTGCTTGTTGCTTTCGTCTGGTCCCTGTACGAGTGAGTGGGTGTGTTGTGGGTTGTGGTGTGGTGGCAGGGTGTCCGGGGGCGGGTTGGTGAGGAGGGTGAGGACGGGGTGGGGGGGGGTATGCCCTTGTGGGGGGTCTCGGTCATGGCTCTCGCGAAAGGAGGCTGTTTTCGTTGACGATCTGTGTAGGTTAGGTGTCTGGTTGGATGTGCGGGGGTGAGACAAGGCGGCAGTTGTCGGGATCGGGTGTCACGTTCAGTGTGTGTGGGGGAGTGGGTGCGGGCAGGGGAGGGGGGCGGGGGGTGTGGAAGTGACTTGTGCGGGAGTGGGCAGGCGCACCGGGGGATGCCGTGTTGTGGCGGCGTGCGTGTAGGAGGGCCCCGGCCTGGTGGGGGCGTGTGTAATGTAGTAGCGTTTGTATGTGCTTTGTTGATTTTTGTGTTGGTTGTGACGTGGGTGGGTTATTGGGTAGTATCGCGTGCTGATATTTCTCTTGTTCCTTTTGTTCGGGGTTGTGGGTTGGGGGTCGTTGTCTAGTTGTTTGGTTGGGGTTGGGTGGGGAGGGTGCCTCATACCTTGTCGTTTTTTGTTGTTTTTTGATTTTTATGGCTTATTTTTTTATTGGCTGGGCCTATTCTACGGTTTTTAGTGTTCCGGTTGCTTATGTGGGGTATTGTTAGGGTATTACTTCCTCTTGGTGTGGTATTGTTTTTCTGTAGTATTGAGTGCGTTTCTGTTATTGTTGTTTTTCGTTATACCTTTCTTCGGCCTTGTATTGGATTTTGTCGTTTAGTTTTTGTTTGCTTGTGTGGTTTGTAGTGTTCCGTTTTTGGCTTTTGGTTGTTGTTTTTCTTAGGTTGGTTTTTCCTGTGTTTCTTATGTTCAGTGTTGTATTGGTATTTGATTTTTATGTCCTTTTTTTTAAGGGTGTTCATTATTTTGTGTCTTTTTGCTTATTAGGTGTGTTTTAGCCTGTAATTCGTCCCTTTTGTACTACTGTTGTTGCTATTGTTGTGTGACTATTTTTTTTATTTTTGTGAGATGTGAAAAAAAATATGAAGTATGTGAATGATAAAACCAGAATAAAGAATAAAGTAATAAATGATGAGAAAAGTAGAGAAAAAAAAAAAATTAGAAAAAATTTTTGCCTGTTGTTGTAAAATAGAGAAGAAAAAAGATCGATATTGTGTGCTCACGAGGGCTTAGCTAAGTAAATTTATTGGAGTTAGATAAAATAATAATATTGTGTAGAAATACAAAATCTTAAGGAAAGAATACAATAGATATTGAAGTGAGTACGTTGTTATGTTGTATACTTATATTCATATAAATAAGAGAAGTTGCCGCAAGTGACTGTAAACGATAACCGGTGTATTACCCGTTTTTGTGGTTTGGTCGAGGTAGGTTGGACGTGAGGTTTGGGTTGAGTAGGGGGGTGTGGGGTGGGCGCAGTACTTCGTGTGAAAGTGGGGTCGGGTGAGGTGGGGGTGAGAGTTTTGTTGTTGTCCTGTTCGGAGGCTCTGTTGTGCGTGGATCTCTTTGCTGGCTTATGTGTATTGTTGTTTCTTTGGCTTTTTTGGTATGCTTTTGTGGTGGTCCTGTTGTGTTTTTTTGTGGTTTTTTTCATGTTTTTTATGATTCTTGCTGCGCGTATTGTGGTATTTGTGGGTTTTCTATTGTTGCTTTTTTGCTCGTATTGGTGTTTGTGTTTGGTAGTTGGGATGTAGCCAGGTTATGTGTGATTACGTTTAGATTTGTGGTTGGCCACTTAGGTTTTGTTGCCATGCTTTGTTTGTGGCTACTTCTGACATGTGCTGTTACAGTGGCTATGTGACAGTTGGGTGGCTGTCTGGGTTGTATTTGGGTCGTGGGATTTTGTAATGTTGGTTACCGACCCGTTCGCCGATACTGTTGTGAGGTTTGTGCCTCATTGACTACGTGGATTGGTAGGCGGGGCGCTGTCGGCTACTCGAGTGAGGGCCATGGTGGAGAGCGCGGGGGCCGGGGGGGGGGCCGTCAGCGGTGGGGGGAAGGGTACCGCCACGTCGGGTCGGCAGAGGGCGTGTCGATGGGGGCGGGGGCGGTGTTGCGCGGGGGGGGCCGGCCGAGTGTGAGTTGCTAGGGGTGTGTGGGTCTGTTTGGTGCGGTTCGTTGGTGGTGGGATTCGTGGAGCGAGTTAGCTGCCTGGGCCGGGTGCGTGTGGGTTGGGGGGAGGGTGTGTTGGTGGGCGAGAGATGGGGGGGTGGGGCCGGCAGCTGGGCGCCTCCTGCGACGGGCGTGTCGGTGGGCGGGACGGAGGGAGGGTGCTGACTCGGAGCGGAAAGTCGGGTCCGTGTGGCGGTTGGCGGGGCTGGCCAGTGTGTGTTGTGTCTTGGGGGGGCGCAGCTGGTGTGGGGTATCGTGTATGTTGGCCTAGCGTTGGTTGCCATTTAGAGTTTAATCTGTCTTTTTGGTGTTGTAGATTAGGACTTTGTGTTTTTGTGGTACGATTGGGGTGTACGTCGATTTTCTCCCTTTTACGTGTAAAGTTGTTTTATTTGTCGGTTTTAGTGTTTTCGTTGTGTGTACATTTACTTCTTTTGTCCTTGCAGTGTATTGTAGTGTTTTGCTTTGCGGGTGTTCAGTGTTCTGGTGTTTATTATGGTAGGCGTCTTTTGTTAGTGGGTAGTGATTCTGGAGTAGGTAGTCGACCTTTGAATGTGCTTTTTGATATGTTGTGTGTTTTTTAGCTTTGTGGTTGTGTGTGGTGGAGGTGGCTTGTAAACGGTTAGGTGTTGTGTGTGTGGCGGTGGGTGAGCTTGCGGGTGGCGAAATTGGCGGCGAAGTGGGGAAGCTTGTCAGCTGTGTGTTTGGGTCGGAGCTGGGATTTGGAGAGTGGCTGTTATGTGAGTTCTCCTGACTGTGTAGATTTTGGGTTGTGTCTGTGTGTGTGTTGCTTAATTGCCTTCGCCCCTTCTGTCCTTATTATCGGGCGTTGGATTTGTCTATTATCTCCTTATGTTGAATGCTGTAGCCTTTCTGTCCTCTCTAATAGCCCCTGATTTGTACTTACTTCTCCTTCTGGCGTGTAGTGAGGGAAGTTTGTCCTGGGCGCTGACTTTTACCCATTAGGACCGGTTTTTTTGTTTGTTTGCTGTTTTCATTTTTTCTTCCTTTGTGAGTGCTTTTCGGTTGGTGTGGGTAGTACAATTAGGTTGATTTTGGAGGGTTTGTGTGTGTTAGTTGTGTAGGTATAGTTTTTTTTTTCTTTATAGAACTTACTTGATTGAGGTTGTTTTATTTTTATTGGTTTCTGTTGGGGTTTGGTTTTGTGGTGTAACTTCTTTTTGAGCTTGCGGTTTTAGAGTGTGGTTTTTGTGTGTGTTCTGTGATTTGAATGTTTTTCTGGGGTGGATTGTATTCTGTGGTTTCTTACTTTGGTCTTATTTGAGAAGCGGGATGGAATGCTAGTGATTTGGACCATGTATGTGTAAGTCTTTTCTGACTTCTACAATGTACTGTTTCGCGCGTACGATTATTTGCTGTCAATTGTGGTGTCGGTCTTATTTAATAAATATTGGGGTTTACTTTTTGCCTTTTTGCTATATGTGGGTGCTTTTTTTTATAATTTTATAGTTATGTCTTGTTTGTAGTTTCTTTGTGATTGTTGCTAGTGTTTTCTGATTGTTTGTGATATTGTATTTTTTTTCTGTGTACATTGTATTTTTTTATTTTTTTGTGTTTGTTTGACGATGTGTTTTTCGATAGTTGCCTGATTGTGGGTTAGAGTGTTGGGTTTTGTTTCGTGGCTTGGGTGTGGATGGTGCGTTTGGGGTGGTTGGTGGTGGCCGGGGGAGCGTGGCGCGTGGGGTAGAGTTCTCGACTGGGAATTGTAGGGTAGGGGCGACTGGGGGTCGTTGTCGTGTGTGGCGTGGAGGGGGGGACCGCTTAGGCAAAGATGCGTGGGCGGGGTCCTGGCCGTCCGCGGGGCTCGGGTGGGGTGCGCGGAGGCCGGAGCGGGGGGGTAGGTGGTGGGGCTGTGACGACCGGCAGGTTGCTGATAGGGGTGGAAAGGTGAGGTTTGAGGGGGGGGGGCGGGCCGACGGCGGGCAGAGCGCCATAGGGGGACTGTTGTCGGGAGTGGATGCGCGAGCTGGGGGGTGGGGCGCTTAGGGGGAGTGGTTGGGCGCGCGGGGTGGCGGGATGGGCTTGCGCGGGGGGATGGGCCCCCAATGATGCCGGGCAGGGGGGGGGGGGGCTGCTGTCGAGATCCGTGGGGGGGATGTTGTGGGGGAGTCTGTCGTGGGGGCAAGTGTGTGTCTTTTTGGGGGTTGACCACCGTAAATTCGTCTGTTTAGAGGCTCGGCGTGGGGTGTGTTGTTGTATAGTGGGGTGGAGGCTTCAGTGATGTGCAGCTACGGGAGCGCAGTGTGTGATTGGTTGGTGTGCGATGTGCGTGTGAGATAGGCGGGTGGGGCTTGTAGGGGTAGCTCGGGCGCTGGGCGGGCGTACGTAGTAGGTGGGATAAGGTATCGTGTGGGAGGTCTTACATGTTGGTAGCTATTTTTGGCGGTGTAGACTGTACTGGTAGCTGTCGATCCTATCCGCGCACAGACACAGGGATGATGAATTATAGCTCGACACTGGTGCTGGCTTGGTGTGTGGTGCGGAGTTGTGCCCTGGGTCTGGGGGCCTATCGTCGCCACGCGGTGACCGGGGTTACCTGTTTTGAGGTGCAGAGTGGGGGGGTCCCCGCCGCGCGGGGCGAAGCCGCTTCGCTGCTGTGGCCTGTGGGGCGTCGCGCTGCTGGACGTATCTAATCGCACGACGCGGTCCACGGGTCTGGTCGTCGCGCTGGTTCCTTAGTCTCTGCTTTTTCTAAGTGGTTCCCCGTGGCGTTCAGGTGGGGTCTGAGATTCGCGCCGTCTCGCCCAGCGTAGACGTGACGGAGGGGACAGGGCCACGCCCGCGCAATGGTCAGGTGCACATACGAAGTGTAACGGCGTTAAGAGCGGCCATAGGGGTTGGATGGGTGTGCCGACTTTGCCTATGCTGGGCGTTGCGTAGTTTCGAGTGTTATTTTTTTTGAGTGGAGAAGTGCCGGTGGCCGTCCTTGGTGTGGAGATGGTCTGTGGACGTTTGTCTTCCTTTGTGTAGGTGGGGACCTTGTCTTTTAAGTTTTTTGAGTGTGTCCACCCGCCGTAGATCGTTGTCGCAGTCGCGCGACGCGGGCTGCCTTTCACGGGGGTCGTCTGCGGGTCCGGATTGTAGCAGGGGGGGGGGGGATTCGCGCCGTTCGGTTTGGTTCCTGCCGCGTCCTGTTTTCTCCTGCGATGGGCCCGCGCTTTTCCAGCGTGTTATATTGTGCTCCCGTGGGGGCACTGTCGCCGCGCGTGGTGCTGTTCGCGGCGGTGTGTAGCGAGGGTCGGCGTCTGCGTGGGATCTCCGAAGGGTGGTGATGCGGGCGCGGGGGGGGGGGGGGGGGGGGGGGGGGGGGGGGGGAGGGGGGGGGGGGGGGGGGGGGGGGGGGTGGGGGGGGGGGGGGGGGGTGGGGGGGGCGGGTGGGGAGGGGGGGGGGGGGTTTGTGTGTTGTGAGTTTTGTAAGTTTGTTTAGGCCTAGGGGCGTGGCATGGCGTGCAGGGGTGGTCGGTGGGGGTTGGGGAGTGAGTACCGTCATCGTTTTGGCCTCTCCCGCTTGGTTCTCTGTGCCCCCCCCGCCCGCGGTTTCCGCGTGCTCCCCGGTGTCGTCTCTTCCGCGTCGTTTGCAGACGCGGTTATGTGCGGATACCTTGTCGAATGGCGCATGCGTCATGCGGATGGTTGCGTCCTGCGTTTTTGCCGTCTCACGACTTACGTCCGCGTCGCGTTGTGGTTTCGTTTGTTCAGCGCTAGTTCCGATCAAACCCGCCGCCCTAGTGCAGCACCCTCAGTCGCCACAGTGCGGTGTGCATTTGCTGCGACCGCTGCTCGCTGCGCGTTCGTAGTAGGTTTTTGTCTCCTGGCGGCCCCGGCGCCTTGATAGGCCGCTCTTGACATTGACTTCTCCTTCAACTCTGCTGCACGGTCCGATCGGCGCCCCGACGCGGCTGCCTGGTACCGCTTGCCGGTGTATTCCCAGCCTCGGCTAGGCGCTGGCTGACTGCTTCGCTCCCGAGAGTTCCGCAGTGTTATCTTCGGTTCCTCCATCGATAGTTGTTCGAAAGCGTTGGCTTCACACTCTCCGTATCCCATGCCGGTTGGCATAGCTGATCGCCCACTCACCACCTCTGGACCTTCGTGTGCTCCTTTGCTCTAACGTGTCTTTTAGTCTTAGACTGCTCCCAGAACTCTCCGCATGCACTTTTTTCTCTGTCGAGCGCTTGTTTGGTGTGGTTGCTGCTTCATCACCTACTTGCTCGTCGCTGCTCGTGAGTCGTCGATGCGCCCTGTGGGCCTTGCACTCTCTATGTCTCGTCGCTCGGTGCCCTGTTACGCCCCTGGGCGGTTTCGTATCAGGCACTCTACCGAACGGCGCATCGTCAGCTCGGCTCGTCCCGCCTTACTGTACCCTTCCTTCCCGCTTTCTCGTCGGGTTCACCCCGAGTTATGTCGCTTCCGCCCGTCCTCCTTCGCGTGGCGGCCTTGGGGTTTTTTGGTGGCTGCTGCGAGATGGCAGGTGTCTATCGTTGGCCGTTTTTGACTGATCGTTCTGTTGTTTCGTTTTTAGCTCGCTGTGGTAGGCCTGTGTGCCGCCGAACTTTCGCGCCCCTTCACTCGTTCTGCTGGCTGACTGCGCTTTGTTCACTGGCCTCCGCTCCCTTCATGGTCCTTTTCGCCCGTTTCCTTTGTTTCTGTTTATCGTGTGGTGCCTTGAGGTTCTCTATTTCATGGGTTTGTGTACGCTAGGGTATTCTTCTTGAGTGTTTTAGTTAGTTGATGTATTTGTTGTGGGTTTGGTCGCTTGTTAGTTTGTTTTGAGCTGGTATAGTCCGCTCGTTTGTCAGCGATGTGCAGATTGAAGTAGTTCGTAATGTCGATGCTCGAATGTTCCCGTGAAACGACCCTCGTGTGCCTATGCACGCTGCTATGGTCGGCGCCCGTCTCGCTTTTATTCGCTTTTCTAGCTTCTTCTACTCTCGTTCCTTCGGACCGCACTAGGCGCCTGATTCATTGGCGGACCTGTTCGGCTTTTGCCCTTTTTTGTGTGTGTTACGTGTTTGGCCGGGGTCCGTTAATATGGCGCTCTTGTGCTAACACTCCTCTGCGTGAGGTTTATTGGCTGTATAGCGTGTGGTGTGAGTGCTGTCGTTGTAGTTTGGTAGCACGGTGGAATAGCTCTCTGTGATAGGTTATCGAAATATTGAGTGTAATTTGGTGTGGCATTGAGTTCCGCGAGATGCTATTAGAATGGTGTGTGTCGCAGTATTCCTTTTTGAGGTGAGGTGTCATTAATCAGGGGCGCACTGTATCTGGCAATGTCTAACCGGTGTGGTCTCCGTGTGGGGGTTGCAAACGGTGGACTGGAACTGTGGATCGTATAGCGGGGCAGTTCTGGGAAGTTGTTGGCCGAAATGCTCTCCGAGGGAAGACTAGATAGGGGGGCTACTGGGGGGTTGTATGACCGGGGAGGCTGGCGGTGATGTAATTGGGCGCGAGGGTGGGAGCGTTGTTGGTAGGGGATGTGTGATGTGTAGTGTGTGTTGGGGTAGGCGTGGTTTGTAGTTGGTGGTTTTGGTAGTTCATAAATTAGGTGGGTGGATTTGGGTTTGGTTTTGTTTTGTTTGTTTGGGGTGTTTGTTGTGGGGTTGTTGGTGGTGGTGGTTGGGTTGCGGGGTGTGTGGTGTGGTTTGGGGTGGTGGTTTTTGGGGGGGTTTGTTGGGTGTTTGTTTGTGGTGGGGGTGGTGTGGGTTGTGGGTTGGGGGGGTTTGTGGGGTGTGTGGGGGTGTGGGTGGGTTGGGTGTTTGGCGTGGTGGGGTGGTTGGTGTGTTGTGGTGGGGGTGGGTGGTTTTGGTGGGGGTTGGTGGGTGGGGTTTTGGGGTGGTGTGTGGTGTGGTGGATGGTTGGGGGGGTGGGTTGGGGTGGGTTGGTGTTGGTGTGGGGTTTGGGTGGGTTGTGGGGTGTGGGTGGGGGTGGGGGGGGGGTGGGGTTGGGGGGTGTGGTTGTGGGTGGTGGGGTGGTGGGTTGGGTGGGGTGGGGGGGTGTGTTGGGGGTGGTGGTGTTGGGTGTGGGGGGGTATGTTGGGTGTGTTGGTGGGGGTGTGGTGATGGCGGCGTAACGTGTGTGTTGTTGGGGGGTGGGCTGGTGGGGGGTGGGTGTGGGGGGGGGTGGGGTTTGTGGGGGGGGGGGTGGGGGTTGGGTGGTGGGGGGGTTCGGTGTGGGGGGGGGGGTTGTGGGTGTGGTGGGGGGGGGGGGGGGGTGTTGTGGGTTGGGGCGTGTGTTGGGGGTGCTGACGGGGGGGGGTGGTGGGTTGGGGGGTGGTGGGTTGGGGGTTGGTGGGTGTGGGGGGGGTTGTGGGGGGGGGGGGGGGGGGGGGGGGGGGGGGGGGGGGGGGGGGGGGGGGGGGGGGGGGGGGGGGGGGGGGGGGGGGGGGGGGGGGGGGGGGGGGGGGGGGGGGGGGGGGGGGGGGGGGGGGGGGGGGGGGGGGGGGGGGGGGGGGGGGGGGGGGGGGGGGGGGGGGGGGGGGGGGGGGGGGGGGGGGGGGGGGGGGGGGGGGGGGGGGGGGGGGGGGGGGGGGGGGGGGGGGGGGGGGGGGGGGGGGGGGGGGGGGGGGGGGGGGGGGGGGGGGGGGGGGGGGGGGGGGGGGGGGGGGGGGGGGGGGGGGGGGGGGGGGTGGGGGGGGGGGGGGGGGGGGGGGGGGGGGGGGGGGGGGGGGGGGGGGGGGGGGGGGGGGGGGGGGGGTGGGGGGGGGGGGGGGGGGGGGGGGGGGGGGGGGGGGGGGGGGTGGGGGGGGGGGGGGGGGGGGGGGGGGGGGGGGGGGGGGGGGGGTGGGGGGGGGGGGGGGGGGGGGGGGGGGGGGTGGGGGGGGGGGGGGGGGGGTGTGGTTGTGTGGGTGTGTGTAGATTTTTTGCGAGTGTTGTTCGTTTTTTGGTCGTGTATCTGTTGGCTTTTTGCTTTCTTGTGTTTTTTGTTTACCTATAAGTGTGGATATTTTTATCTTGTGTGTAGCGTTCTCTTGTAGGGGATGTCTATTTCCTCTTGTAGATAGTGCGGTTGGTGGAGTTTTATTTAGATTGTTTATGGCCGTGTCGACGGTGCTAGACGCTCGGGGTACGTCCGTCCCCGTAATCCCTCGACTAACCTAGTACCCACTCGTAAAACCCTCTCTAGCTCCATTTTGTCCCGGACGAGGCAGGGCGGACAAGCCTGGACGCAGTATTCCAGATGAGGCCGAACGAAAGCCGAGAACAGCCTCGTAAAGATGCCGCCCGTCAAGACTCCGAAAGAACGTCGTATTAACCACAACATGCGGAAACCTCTGCTTGCGGCCTTCTTCCAGTTGTCGCCGGAGTGTAAAGCCGAAGAGTGTACGACGCCTAGGTCAATCTGGCTAGATACACGGGGAGTTCGACCCCACCGACCACGTACTTCGTAGGAGGACAACCTCCTCCAATTCGAAGAACGGAGCACTTTGCTTGATTTATGGGCAGTAACCATAAAGTAGACCAGTCCCAAAGCTTATCCAATGCTCGCTGAATAGCTTCGGAACCCCCAGGAACATCGACAATGTTCCACAGCTTCAGGTCATCAGCAAATAGCAGCGATGGTACCTCAAGCTCCGCGGGTAGGTCATTCACATAGATAGAGAACAGCAGCGGTCCAAGGACCGAGCCCTGCGGCACGCCACTGAGGACAGACTGCCTAAACGATAGGCCCGGCCTACCCGTACACACTGTTCTCTACCCTCCAAGAAGGCAGTCACCCAATGAAGGGCGCGGCCAGATACCCCGTAGGAGGTCAGCTTTTGCGCGAGCCTCAAATGGGGTACCTTGTCAAATGCCTTCGAAAAGTCGACGAAAAGCACGTCCAGCGCGTGGCCGTTATCCACTGCATCCGCCCAACTTTCGCGTGCCACCAGTAGATTCGTCAGACAGAAAATCCCTTCCGGAATTCGTGTTGCACATTGCTAAGTAGATTAAATCTACTCAGATGACTCTCCAATGAATGTCTCACCAGTTTCTCGAGGAGTTTGACTACTACACTCGTGAGGCTAACTGGTTTATAATCTGCAGGCAGACTCCTGTCCCCATTTTTGAAGATGGGACAGATGACAGCTTCCTTTCATTCGGAAGGCAATGCACAGCTGTCAAGCGATTTCTGAAACACCATAGCGAGCGGTCTACTTAGTTCCGCAGCCAACTTATGCAACAGTTTCGGGTGAATTAAATCAGGCCCAGAGGCTTTAGAAGGGTTCAGCCCTTGTAACAGCCTACGAAATTCCGTCTACGCCACAATAAATGCAGATAGTTCTGAACCCTCTGGGGTCCTGCAAACCAGCTCAACGCCTGTCAAAGAGGTTTCACTTACAAACGCTGTCGCATATTGCCCACTAAGTACGCAGGTCTTGTCATAGTCCGTATGCGCATGAGTACCGTCATCACGCATCAATACTGGAATTGACATGTTCGAACCGCAGCGCCTTTTGACATAAGCGAAGAATCTTTTTGGATTCTCTGAAGCTTCGTCCGCTAACCCTTTCTCGAAATTGAGCCGAGCATCCCTTAGGTGTTGCTTACACCTATTTCTAGCCTTACGGTACCTGTCATAAGTATTAGTGGATGGAGCGGCTCGGTAAGTCCGCCAACATCTAGACCTCTTTGTGAGCAGATGCCTGCCAGTGGGATCTATCCAGGCGGCTGTGCTCGTGCCTCCTTTCTCCTTGTGACTGGGATGAAGGGAGCAGAGACCTCTGTGAGGTAGGACTTAAATGTATCCCACGCAACCTCGACAGTATCGTCGTCTGAGATCTCACAATGTAAACCCGAAGCCTTGGCTCTCATGGATTGATAGTCTGCGTGCCATATGTTCGGGCGAGACTCAACAGTACTCTGGTAGCGTCTAGACAGAGTACAACTGAAGAACAAACAAACATGATCACTGGAACCCAGTGGAGGTCCGTAAATAATGTCACCAACAAAATCGAGTGACTTAGCAAATACAAGGTCTAAGACAGACGGTACTTGGGCGTCCATGTACCTAGTCGGGAGGTCAATGAACCGGTGCAAAGATACTTGGAGCGTAAGCTTAAGCAGATCAGCGCCGGATGTGCCTGACGCTGAGTCGCAAGAAAGATCTGCCCAGCAAATCTCTGGGAGGTTGAAGTCGTCCATCACCAAACACTCATCACAACGAGACTGGACCTTAACGTTGTGCGACGGTTTGCGTATCTCATTAACCCACTGAGCTATACTGGGTGATGCCTCCGAGCATCTTGAGAGCTACTCCTACCAGGTTGGTCAATGGTGAGAGGTCAGACAAACTCAGTCTCCTGGTCCTGCAAGTTGGGGGTTTGAAATGGGATGGCGTCCATTTCTGTAAAACTAAATCACTGCCACCCCGCTGCCTTGCGGATAGGCTTTTGAGCCAAAGGCTTTGGATGAGAACCCTAATCGTCCTTCTGTCTAGGTCTGGGCGCCCTGGCAGTATCCCAGCCCACATACAACCATGACATTTTCTTCAAACACAAACTTCATCCTGCATCGACCGTCGCGCAGATTAGCAAGGGTCGCCTTATCTGCTGCATACAGCAGGGCGGATAAGCGAAAACATGCTACTGCTGGCGCCTCCCTTCTTTCTTTTCCACCTTTTCTCTTACCCCCATCCCGGCCCCCATTACTAACCTTCCTTCTATAATTCCCAGCTTAATTGACAGCAACCGAAGTGCTACTGGAGTAGTACCATCTGCAGCCACCATCCCACAGCACCTATCGGACGCCTATCGGCAAAAGTCCCTTATAAGGCCACGCTGTCCCGTTTCCATGGCGACATTCAACGTCCGCACTCTAAGACAAACAGGTCAACAGGCTGCACTCGCATGCAACTTGGACACACTGGGTGTTGATGTGTGTTGGGTGTCCGAAACTAGGATTAATGACCCTAACGGGGTTATTGAATTGACTGCACCCAGCTTATCCTCTCGTTATTGGTTGCACGCATCCGGAGACGCCGATGCGGCACTCACGGGTCAAGCTGGTGTAGGTATCATTCTACGCTCCAAGGCTGAGCCATCGTCGGTTGATTGGATTCCGGTAAGCAGCCGTTTATGTGCAGCCCGTTTGACGACATCAGCTAAGGTGAATTCGCGAAGTAAAACAAAACGCTGTTTGTTTGTGATTTCCGTTTATGCTCCCACCGACTGCAGTACTAATGCTGTCAAGGACACTTTATATCACGAACTGAACGCCCTACTACGCAGTGCTACTAGTTCAGATTTTATAGTACTTGCAGAGGATAGGAACGCACAAGTAGGGCGTCTGAGCTCTTCAGAAGCTCAGCTGGGTGGTAAGTATGGACTTAACGCCGAACGGACTGACAACGGCGAGCGTCTGTTGCAACTGTGTGCGGAGCACCAGTTGTTTCTTACTAGTACTGCTTTTAGACACAGTGGGCGCCGAAGTGCCACTTGGCGTCCACCTGTAGCTGGCCAGCGATGGACCTAAATTGACCACGTAGCCATAAGTTACAGATGGCGCGGTTCCATTCTGGATTGCCGCTCGTATTGGAGTACCTGTGTCGACTCTGATCATGCCTTGGTGCGCTGTCGTTTCTCCATGAACTTTACCGGAAAGCGCACAAAGCATCTCCCCCGATTGGCAACGGAGAAATTGTCCCAGCCCACGGTCAGGCAAGCCTAGCAAGAAGCACTGCATAGCGAACCCGCGCTGTCTCATCCTAATGACACTGAACTTCAGTGGAATAGGATCTCGACCGCTATGCACGACGCAGGAGCATCTGTTTGTGGCACTATCAGTCGTCATCGCACCAGGCACTGGATATCCGAGAGGTCCGTGAACCTGTTGGAAGCTAGAAGACACCTCCCGGCTGGCTCTGAGTACAATGTGACCAGACAAGCTATTGGGCGTGAACTAAAGCGGAGCCTACGTGCTGAAAAGAAAGCCTGGTGGACTAGTCGGGCTCAAGAAATGGAGGAGGTAGGAGCAGTAGGCAAATACCGCAAGCTCTTGCAGATAGCCTGCACCACTAGTCCCAGAAAACAAGGCGTCAGTGAGACAATCAGAGGCAGCGCGGGTGCGCTGATACACAATAAGAAGCGCCGTATGGCTCGTTGGGCGGAACACTTTCAAACTCAGTTCAGCTAGCCCCTATCATGTTCCTTAATATTCTTTGTCGTGGCTATTTTCTTTACCACTGCACTGCATACCTGGCCCTGTCATAAGTATTTGTGTTCACTCAAGAGTAGGGTGATTGTTCTCTTCTTTCTTGAGTCCGGTGGTTGTTCTTGTGTTGAGTTTTGAGGTCTGCCCCTTTCTTGCTAAAATAAAATTTTGCTAAATTTTGCGTCATTTTATTTTTTTTTTTTTGCTTCGGGGATTTAGGTTTGATGTTTCAATTGTCTCTGACTAAATTTAGGCAAGTCTTACAAACTACTTTTTATCAGTTATCCGGAACTCTAAAATAACTTGTAAGTTATGAAAAAGGGAAAGTTTTGTGCGTAAATCTAGCAAACGCAGTGATTTTTTGCCACAGGATAGCCATCTTACTTCATTGTGGATCAATAAAAATGGGTGTACGCTTTCCATATTGTCACACGAAATGCTGAATAGTAGGTTGTTCAGCGGCGGAAAGTTAAACAACTACTTATTTTTACCGCTTAATCGAGGAATGTTTTGTGACTGATTGGCATTTTGCTTATGACAAGTACTTATCGATGAACAATGCATTGGCTGCTGGTGCAGGCTTGTGTAACGGTTTTCATTCCTACCACAACTACAACCGAAGTTCCAGTCACTGCTTTGGCACTATCAATGCAAATAATGATGCCGTTGTCCGTTGTTATTTTCGTGCGTAAATTATTCAAAACAGTGAACATGTCAACCCTACTAGTGTTTGTTGGCGCATGTTCACACGAAAGTATGTTTTCTCCAGGGATGGTTGGTGTTTGTATCTGGTAAGCATAAGCA